CGCGGCGGCGGCGGGCGGGAAGAAGCTCTGGGAAGGGGGATGGGGAGGCGGGAGCCGTCGCTGAGGCAGCCGCAGCCGCAGCCACAGCGGCGCTGGGTCCCAGTTACCGGAGCCCCGCCCCCTCGCCGGGGATTTGCGCTTGACCACGCCCCCTCGCTCCGGACCGCCTCATTTCTCGCTGCGACCGCCTTTAAGGCCCTCCTGCCCCTTAAAAATTCCCCCTCAGCCTGCCTTTTCCATTTCTGCCTGGTACCGCACGAGTAAGTCTCCTGGCTCAACCCCCCAAATCTGCCTTTCCATCCCATCTCAGGTCTTCCTCTCTCTGCTCTCCCTTCCCTTTTTTCCCTCAGAAGCCTTTCCACATGTTCCAGAGTTTCCCTAGGGCTTGGCTCATAGAGGACCTGTCTTTGATTTCACTCTGCTCAGACCACGATTATGGTTCTTTACTTTGTCACTCTTACCAATAGCCTCTGTTCCCTGGTTTGTCGCATCCGCCTGGCAACATCCCAACCTTGGATCAGTCCAGCCGTCCGACTTTTCCATGTCTGCGCCCAGGCAACTAAACACTGCTGGAGAAAAGTATTCAACCTCCCAGATTCGTGCCACTATAAACCCATGATTCCCAGCCTCTACCAAGCCCTCACTAGTAGCCCACAACCCTGCTAGTCAGCTTTCTCTCTCATTCTCCACAGCAGCCATTTCAAACTTTCGCCCCTCCCCTCCCCTCAAACCTCCAATTTCTCCATCTGCCCCCTAACCCTCAGCAGATAACCCCACCTACTTCAAAGACTGGCTACCAAAGAAGAAGCTCTTGACTTCTTGCTACCAAACCTAGGAATTTGTCTTTGCTCCTTCCCATCAGCGTCTAAACATATTCGGGCCTCTTCCATCTAAAAACAAATAAACAATTACCAAGAATTCTTCCTCTCCAACCACCTCCCTCTCTTCTCTTTTCCACAAACTTCTCAAGCGTTGCCCACTCTCAACAGTCTTCATTTTCCCACCTCCTACTTATCTTTCAACCCACTCCAATCTGCCTCCACTACTTGCTCTCTCATCAAGGTCCACTATGGCATGTCACTAAATCCAACAGAATCTTTTCAGAGGTTATCCTACTTGGCTTCTTGGTAACATATGACATTGGTGACCACTCTCTCCTTCTTAAACCACTTCCAAGACACCGCATTCTTTTTGTTTTTCTCCTACTTCCTTGATAAATCCCTTTTGCTATCCAGGCTCTATGTCCAGTCCATAATGTGGGTGCGCTTTAAGGCTTTGGCCAGAGCCCCTTTGTCTTCTCTCTTTATGCTCTTTCCATCGATTACCTCATTTGCTTCCATGGCCTCAATTATCATCTCTTTACTGATGACTCCCAAATTGATAGTTCAAGACTAGATATTTCTACTGGTTATTAGCTCTATCTAAATATCCCAGAGAAAACTAAAACCTTAGCTATTTCCTACTCAACGCATCCTCCTCCTAACCTGCTTGTCCTTTTTTTTTTTTGAGTTGGAGTTGCACTCTGTTGCCCAGGCTGGAGTGCAATGGCAGGCTCGCGGCCACTGCAGCCTCGACCTGCTGGGCTCAGGCAAACCTTCCACCTTAGCCTTCCAGGTAGCTGGAATCAAAGGCCCAGCTACTTTTTTGATTTATTGTAGAGACGAGGTCTTGCCATGTTGCCCAGGCTGGTCTCGAACTTGTGGACTCAAGCAATCCTCTCGCCCCTGCCTCCCAAAGTGCTGGGGATTACAGGTGTGTTTGCCCTTTTTTTAAAATCTTACCTTA